CGGGTATACTCGAAAATAGGGATCAAGGGGGATTCGTGCCTATCCGCTTGCCTCGGCCAGACCAAAACAACGGACCGCAGGCTAAGTGGGCATGCTTGGCAGGGGGCCCATAACCAGCAGTCCTGGCATAGAGTACAGCATAGGTGGATGGCGTAGCGTCTGCCGTGATCTGCACGACTGCATCGTCGCGAGCGCTGCAAGGACGAAGGCAACATCACGTTCGATCGACGCTGACCTCGAAAAACAAACAGTGGCCGCTGCACATCTTCAGGCTGGCTGGGGCGAGTTGCGTCATACATCAGAACACGCCGCTTGCCAAACATCTCCGAGACCAAAAAAGAACCGAACCGGAGCACCCACGCCATCCCCGGCAGAAACCCTGCGGCAAGATCTGAACCGTTCGCGGGCGCCCCGTGAGCACTTTGCCTCGGTTGTTGCTGAAGACGACGGCGGCGGTGCCCCCATGCCGTCCGCTCTGTGCAGGCCCCCCATGCCTGACAAAGCACAATGCAGAATGCACTGTGAACCTGGCGCACAGTGCATGGTGCATTGTGCTTTGTCAGGGCGTGCACGGGGCGCCGCCATAAGCTGAGGCGTGCACGGGCGCCCCGAGATCACTCTGCATTGGCCATCAACAGGGACGGCGGGAGTGCCCTCACATGACCCGCTCTGCGCATGCCCGCCACCCCTGCCAAAACACTGGGCAAGGTACGATGGTTCTGGATTTGGTTCCCCGGCACGCGGCTTCCAGGAAAAGCGATGTGTGGATTGGTGCTGGGCCTACTGGCTCCACTCTCCTCACTGAGTGCTCGGCACAGCGCTTCCGAGAGGGCCCTAACTCCTGAACTCATTGGGATCGGCGCCCCAGGCTCGGATTCTGCCTATATGTTGGGAGGGCGGGCGAGTGAGCGACACAGCTTGCGGCATGGGATAGCTTGATCACTGCCCCCTGATAAACCAAAACACACCCCCACACCCGACTGGCAGCCAACCTGGACCCATGAGCCCACCCCCCGACCACCCCTGCCAAAAACAATACAAAATACAAGTTGTCCCCAGATCTAGAGCATCTGGGGGCGCCCCGCGGTCATGCCGCATTGGTTTTTGACAAGGACGACGAGGAGGGTTGGCACATTACCTGGGCTGCGCCATGCCAACACCACCCCAACCATCATGTTCAACGACAACAACAACAACAACAACAACAACAACAAGAACAAGAACAAGAACAAGAACAAGAACAAGAACAAGAACAACAACAACAACCACAACCACAACCACAACCACAACCACAACCACAACAACAACAACAACAACAACAACAACAACAACAACCACAACCACAACCACAATCACAACCACAACCACAACCACAACCACAACCACAACAACAGCCACAACAACAAAACGATGCAAAGTGCAATTTGCGGCAAAATCTTGGGCCATGCCCCGCGAGCTCGTTGTTTTGCTTCTTGAAAAGGATGGCAGGGGTGCCAGCGTATGGCCTGCTGCGCGCACGGCCAAATTCCACTTCGCCGCGAAATCTAGATCATGCGCGGACACCCCGCGATCACGCTGCTTGGGTTTTTGAGAGGGACGGCGGGGGTGCTGGCACGTTGCCTGCTGTGCGCGGGCCCACCAGACATCATGAGGACCACTTCGTCGCGATCGTTCGATGGTTTTTGACAGGGATGGTGGAGGCCGACATGTTTCCCGATGTGCGCGCGCACCTGGCACACTCTGCGGGTGCCCTGAACGTGGCGCACCTGACGCGGCTGGAGCATGCGACACACTTGGCGCACGCGGAGCGCATGACACATTTGGCGCAGTAGGCTTGCCTGGCACGCTTGGGCCTCAGGGGCGCCTGGCGCTCCTGGTGCGTGTGACGCACTTGGTGAGCGTGGCGCACCGGACAAGCGTGGCGCGCCTGGCACGCGTGACACACCTCGCCCCAGCGTCGCGCGCCTGGGGCTTGTACTGGCTCCCAGGAGCTGCCCATCCAAAGATGACCGCTGAACATGCCGGGACTCGGGTACTAAGTATGTGCTGCGAGGACGGGTGGTAGTGAGCCAGACAGTTTGCCCCTTTCCCCTACCCCCTCCCGCGGTCGGGCAAGTGTAGTGGTACTCGCTAGTGCGCTGTTGTGCACGGGGGGCGCAGGCAGCCGACGGAGCGAGCGGGTCCGGGCTTGCGTCCGTACTGGCCCATTTCCACTAGCGCGCACAACATTTACTTTTGCACCTGTTACTCCTGGACTAGAACCACGCGCGCGCTTCGCGCGCGTAGGTTCGAGTCCATCGACCATCGACCGTAGTGTCATCGAACGGAATATAATGATGAATGCTGACAATCGTAAGTATTGTATAGACGACCCCGGAACTAACCGCAACGCCAGGCGAAATACCTGTGCATCGCCGTTGGAATGAGACGCTTGGCAACTCCACCTCCACATTCGCCTTCCTGTCCTCTTCATTTCTTCCCGCCCACCTCCTCCGCATCGCCATCCACCAATTCCTCCTCCTCCTCCTCCTCCTCCTCCTCCTCCTCCGTCTATTCACATCCTCGCCTGTCTCTTCATCATTGTTATCGACCTTCCCGTTCTGGAGGTCGTCTTCGACCTCCTCCTCATCCTCCTCCTCATCATCATCAGCAGCAGCAGAAGCATCAGCATCAGCATCAGCATCAGCATCATGATCATCATCATCATCATCAGCATCATCATCATAATCATCAGAATCATCAGAATCATCATCATCATCATCATCATCATCATCATCATCATCAGCAGCATCAGCATCAGCATCATCCTGATCCTCAACCTCATCCTCGTCCTCATCCACCTCCGCCGCTCACGTCTCCTGGTCCTTCTCGTCCTCGCCCTGACTCCCCTCCTCCTCGTCCTGCTCCTGCTCCTGCTCCTGCTCCTCCTCCTCCTACTACTCCTACTCCTACTCCTACTCCTATCCTTATTCCTTATTAGAATATACTCCTACTCCCCCCTCAGGCCGGCCATTAGGGGCCGCATCCGGGTGGTCCCATCCTAACCAATAAAAAACAATACAAAATCAACATTTTTCTTATTTTTTCCTCTCGACATGGACGTCCTGTCGTCCACGGCGCTAATCCATTGCAAAAAATACCACAAAGAGCACACGCGCGCGTTCATGTCAGAATCCTACCGAACACCGTGTGTTTGCAAGCATTTCAACATAAAAACATCAAAAACCCAATGCTTTTCACAAAAATTGTACAAATTTCCCGCCCGGGCTCTCTTGCTGAAATCATAGGAAAACCATAGGAATCTTAAGAATTCGGTCAAATCCAGCGATTTCACGTCATCGCGCGGTGCACTCGCGATGCTCTGTCATGCACCCAGGCCGCGAATCCTGTGCAAAAAATACCACAAAGAGCACACTCGCGCGTTCATGTCAGAATCCTACCGAACACCGTGTGTTTGCAAGCATTTCAACATAAAAACATCAAAAACCCAATGCTTTTTCACAAAAATGCTTTGGGGTGTCCTGTCAGACCGTCGGGCTTCCTCCGGCCACCTCTGGCTTCCTGCGGTGTACCGGGCCATTCTCGACTCGTCTGGCAATGCGTGCGCGGCATTCAACACGCGCTCGCCAGTTCCCGTCGGCAACCGCCATCGCGGCCGCATCAGCTGTACCAAACCGGCTGGCCGGTGTGACTTCGGCCCCCAGTTGTGCCAGCTTTGCTTCTTATGTTGTGGGAGGGCGGGTGGGACTGGGCATGCCATGCTTGACTCGCTCGAGCTGGCTAGCTTGACTCCTACTCCTACTCCCCCTCCTCCTCCTCCTCCTCCTCCTCCTCCTCCTCCTCCTCCTCCTCCTCCTCCTCCTCCACACATCCCGCCCCCCTCCCATCACCTTCAGATCGACATGTCATGTTGGAGAATAACCCTGCATTGCCAAGGCGGCCTTGGAGGGCTACTTCTGAACGCTGTCGGGATGTCTTGGGCTGTTCCTCGAAACGCTCGGGGGCCTCCCGAACATGCCCCAGATCAAATTACACGAGAGATCCTTCCGCAACGGAGTCTGTCATAGGGGGCTCCAAAAATTGTTTTTGGTCGCAACTTCATGCTCTCTTGGTCCGAGATGGTCTCTTGGGAGGCGCTTCGACAGTCTGGGGGCTGCCTCGAGGCCTCGTTTTGGACCGTCGCGAGGGGGGCCTCTTGGGGGGCCTCCCGAAGGCTTTTGGGGGCCCCCACGACGGTTCTCAGGACGCCTTGGGACCTTTCGGGCAGCTTCTGGGGTGCTCACTGAAATCAATATTGGGCCGTCGAAGCGCTCCTTTGACCCGTTGAGGTCCTCCCTGGGCCATTTTCCGAAGACTATCTCGCGCCGTCTTTGAGCGGTCTTGGGCCGTCCTTGGGGCCTGTCTTGGCTGTCTGGCGGTGTTTGGATCCTCTCTTGAAGCATCGCGTGCCACGTGTGGTCGTCTCTCGGGGCCGTCCTGGGGCCATTTTGGAGCGTCTGGAGCCGTCCTGCGAGATTGTGGCGGCCTCGGGGAACGACTTTGAAGCTTCTCGAGGCCGAAGAAAGAACCCCGAAGGCCCCTCCCCTAAAACAAAAACAAACATGTTCCTGGACCCCGAGGACTGAAGACGGGTTGCAGGGGGAATGGGCTTGGTGTCATGGGCCGCCCCTGGGATTGGTGGCCCGGTCGCCGATTATATCACATCGCCGACTCCGGAAACCCTCGGCGCAAAATGTTGCCATCTCCTGCGGGCGCATTCTGTGTTTCCGCTGGCCTCTTCGGGCCTTCCGCCAGTGGAACCGCCCTCGTTCTACAGTCGGACCTAGGCCACAAGAACAGACCTCCCTCGAGAACATGAGATCCTCCGTCGGCCAAAACCAACAGAACATCCAAGGGTACCCTCCCAGTAATGCACAACAACATCCAACAAACACGAAGAACACAAATTAGGGTACCCTCCCCGAGTCGACCTCGATCTTATCCCTCGGTCCGACTCTACTTCAGCGGGCGTGCGCCACCCTTCTGGTGGCCTCCGCCGAGGAGGAGACGTCAGCCCCTCGATCCCTTGGAGGCGAGACGCCCTCGCTGGAGCGCCCCACGAAAAAAAAGGCAGGGTGCGCGGGGGGGGCCTCCTGCCTCCCGAGGGCACCTCGGGGTCGCCCCATGGGGCCGCCTCTCCTCATGGCCCATGGCGCGTGCAAGGACGAGCCTAAACAGCACCGGGCTGGGATCCCAGAACTCCGACGCCGTGTTGTCTTTGTTTCGCGGCGACGGGCCTGGGGACACACAAATCAATACACTTTCGAGTCGGCGGCGCAGAGGAGCCTCAGGCGCGGTCGGCAGGTGGAGGTGCCAACTGTGAACGAACTTTGTCGAAAGCGCCATGATGAAAGAATCTAGCGACGGCCACGCAGATTACTGGTGGAAAACGTGGGGCGCTGCATGGCCAGGATGAAGCGGCCAACGAACCCGCGAAACGAAAGCTCAACGCAAGGAGTTGAAGCGCAGACAACAGTCTGGTGCTAAGTAGAGCCTTGAGAGGCGAAAAGAACTGTAAGGCTGCCAGACCAGACAGCATGGAGGCGACGCAAAGCACGCACTCTGTGCGACAAGGCGACGCCACCAGCATTGCAACAAGCACGACAAGAGCGCCGTGCAGCGGAATGCAAAGAGTCGGCGTGTTAAAAATGAGCACGCGGCCGAGGCTTACAAAGCCTTGGGCAACAAAAAGCAGAGCTGAACGTGGGCCACCGCGAGCAGCAACCGCTTCGCGCGGCGACGCACACGGGTAGCAGACAGCGCAAGCAAATAGGTGGTGGACAGGCACGTGCGTGGCCAACGTGCAGTGCGGACGCCACCATTAAAACAGCAACCCCACCGCAGCCAAAGCCGCGAAGAGCTACCATGAGTAGGCGGAGGCAAAACGAACAGACAGACAACCACCTCGGCTCAATAGAGACTGTGCGCGTCACCTAAAATCGCACCACTCCGACCGAAGGCGACCAAGCAAAAGAAGGACGAGCAAAGCGAGCCCACCAACGGGCTACGCCAACGACAGATGCGAGCGATCAAGCTGACATACAGCTGAAACCAACAGTGGATGCGAACTGCAGCCCAAAGTGCGGATGCGCACCCCAGATGCAACGCAAAGCAAAAACACTCAACAGGCCGCGGCCATGACAGCCAGCACCCCGTGCCAAGGCACAAGCAGCAAGGCGGTAAGGCCACCGATGGGCAAGCTGCCAGGACGGGAAAAGGCGTCGACCACGAGCGGTGCCCATGGAAATTGCCACGCGCACCCCCGGGAGCGCAAAGAAATACGCACAAACACGCACACACACACACACACACACACACACACATACACATCCCAGGATGCCCCATACTCTCCCTGGGAATCGACGATCCTTTGCGCCCGTGCGCGTGATCTTCCCTTCCCGATGCCTGGAGGCGTTAGGCCCCCCCTCCCCGGGGCGGGCTGCCCCTCCCCGAGCCGCTTCTCTTGGCGGCCTCTGGCGAGGCCCCGGCGGGGGCCTCCTCTCCAGAGGCCGAGGCCATGGCAAAACGCAGCCTCCCGGCGTGGTTTGCCGCAGCTCCTTCGAAGCCCCCTGGGAGCTCCTGCGAAGCCTGCAAGCCTGCAAGCTCCCCAGCCATCCCTCGGAGCTCCTTTGGGATCTCGTTTCTCGTTCTGGGAGCCGCACCGTCCGGCACAGCGAGACGACGGCGAGGCACAGGATCCCCCCCCCACCTCTCACCGAGCGCGTTCCTCCACTCGCAAGCGTCCGAAGACAAAAACACACGTCTGCCTCGATGCAGTGGGGGCCGTAGATCCCCCGCGGCGGACCTGGACCTTGGCTAGCAGTGGAACGCGCTCGTCCAACCTCTTGTCGTCGCGAGCCAAGTCACGACGGGAGGTTGCGTTTTGCCACCTGTGGCGTCCCAAACCCAGACACAGCGACGCAGTCCAAGGCGCGCGAAGCGCTGGTGGTCGACGCCTGCAAGGACGCTGGGAAGGGTGCCCGAGGGGGGGAAGGACCCCAGCTCGCTGCTGTGGCTGTTGCTTGCTGCCGTTTCCGCGGCCAGCTGCTGCGTTGGACTCTGCATGGTGTTGCTTGCTGCTGCGTGTTTCTGGATGCTGTTGCGTGCCATTGTGTGCTGCTACTCCTTACCGCTTGGGCGAATCTTCGCACCTCTTGAGGCCTCTACTATCTTGTGCTTCGAGGTTATACTTCGGGACTCTTAGGCATTTTTTGGAATCAGATTGGGCCCTCTTGAGCTGTCTCGGGGCCATTTGGGGGCTCTCTTGGGTAGCGCTTCTTCGGCCATCTGAGGACTCTCTTGGGCTTTCTTGAACCGTCTCGGATTTCTCCAGGGGGTCCAAAGGCCAGATTGAACTGTTTTCGGGGCCTCTTGGGGACCTGTTAGGTCGTTTGGATTGGTTATTTGGGCCCTTATCGGGCCGTGTTGGAGCCCTCTGAAGCCCTGTTGAAGCCATGTAGAGCCGAGAACGTGAACAAGCCAAAAGCATCGCGAGCCCATCGGAACCGACACAATCTGGGCTGTCTGGGGCCCCTCGTGGAGCGTCTTGGAGCCTCTCCTGGCAGCGTGCGCTTGTCTTCGACCAGCACAGCCACCTGTCGCGGCAGAACAGAGATCGCGGTGCGCGCTCCCGAGTCCACCGAACGGACCTCCCAGACCCGCCCGCGACCAGCTGTGGCCACGCCATCCTCCGCTGACACGGATGCGACGAGGCGTCGCTGGCTGCTGCAGCCATCGTGCTGCCATACGGAACTAGAGGCCTCGTAGTTGGGGTGCGAGCAGGTGGGGTCGGAGGATCTCGCCGCATCGCCGATGCATCGGCCATGCACTGGCGACGTCGGCGGTACATCCGCGACGTCGGCGTGGAGAACTAATGGGCCCCACATCGAGCCGCATCGCCGATGCATCGCCGATGCATCGGCGATGCGGCGCAATCCTCCGACTTCCCACTCGTAGAATGTTGCCCCGAAGTCTCCGTCGTCAGCTCGCCCCGTGGAAGCCCAGGAAATTCCAGGATGAACTCGAAATCCGAGAAAAATCCCGGGGGAGCTTCAGGATGAACCCGAAATCCAGGACTCCGACCCCAGCTAGGAGGCCGGCGCTTGAATTCAAGAAACTCGTTGCTGAATATTTAAAAACGGTTTTCGATTCAAAAACCAACGTTGTGAGTTCGAAAACCAAGTTCTTCAATTCAAAAACCGAGATCTTGAAGTCAAGAACCGAAATCCAGGACCCCCACCCCAGCTGGGAGGCCCCGAGGAGGGCAGGGCCTTCCTGCTCCAGCCACGGTGGGCATCGGCCTCGGAGGGGGCTCCCCCGGCCCGCGCCCGAGGAGCGGCCCGACCGCCCACGCCCCTGTCCGAGCCTCGCGCGGTCCTGCAGGCTCGGCGCCCTGTCCCCGGGGAGCCCGGAGAAAGAGCACGCCCGCGCCCAGGCGCGCACGCGGGCGCACGGCCCCCCCCCCGCCGCCCTGCGAGACCCTCCTCCTCCTCCTCCTCCTCCTCCTCCTCCTCCTCCCCCTCCTCCTCCTCCGCCTCCTCCTCCTCCTCCTCCTCCTCCTCCTCCTCCTCCTCCTCCTCCTCCTCCTCCCCCTCCTCCTCCTAGCATCTTGATCTTGGGCCGAAGCGGCTAAAGGGGAGACAGCCTCGTGAGGCGAACGTCCGCGCCAGGCGCGCAACCCTTCGAAACCGACGTTGCTCCCCCGTGGGTGCACGTCCCTCTCTCACTCCTGGCGGCTGGCGGCCCCTTGGGCCCTCGGAAGGCCGCAGCCCGGGCGGCTGCCGACCAGGACCGCGGAGCGGAGAAGGGCCAGCCTGGGACAGAAGGGGCCGCCCGCCTCGCCCACTCCTTCGAGAGAGGGCGTCGAGGCCTTCACACTTCTCCACTGCTCCTGGCCAGGGCCAGCCTGGGTCGAGGCGCAAGGGTTGCGTGCCTCCCTGGCCAAGCCAGGAGGGCGTCTGCACCGCTCCTGGGCGCAAGGCGGGCCTGGCCAGGAGCAGTGGAGATGTGCATGTCTCGCCGCCCTATTGAGAGGTGGAGGCGGCCGGGGGGCCTCAACTGACTGCCCACCGAACCACCTCAAGCCAGCCCGAAGTCGCCGTTGGGCCTGCCAGTTTCCAATGAGGGAAAGTTCCAGAACATCGAGGAAGCACGGTGGAACCCGTGCACCCCCCAACCCGAAATTGGGGGCGTCTGGGACCTTCGAGTTGGGTTGGGGCGGTTTCGCAAGTAGTGGAGAACTGGTTGCAGTTCCAGAAGCATCAGTCAGGAAAGGGCGGTGAGGCCAAATCAACTCGAAATCGGTCCCCAGACCCCTCCCAATGTCCATCTGGCGCTTTTTTTCTCCCTGGATCCGTTTCCGACAGTCCTGGGGACCCGAAAACGGCCCCCGCAGGGCAAAAAAGGCCAAAAACCTTCCCGAACCCGGACCTCGCACGCCCTTCCTGCTGGCCGGAACCAGTGCTGGGCCACCTCAGACCCCCAGCCGTCTCCAGCTCAAGAGTCCCCTGCAGTGGCCCTGCAGTGTCGCCCCAAGCGCACAGCGGGGAGATGGCGCAGCGACCTTACGCGATGGCTTGCGCAGGCCGCCCGCGCGGCACGCCACAGAGGAGACCAAGGCGCTGACGCGCAACCTTACGCGGGCAGCTTGCGCGCCGATGTCGGCGCAGACGACCCCGTTTTTCTGCGTCGCTCATCTGTTGGCTCATCGGGCCGTGATCGCGCCCTCCCGGCCAGGGTGCCACCGCTGTGGCGTCCACAGCCAGGGCCCGTCTCGCGAGACGCCCGCCTCTGGAGGCCAGGATACGGCCCCCGTCGTTGGAACCAGGGGCTGCTGCTGCTTCGGCGAGACCTTTCCGCTCGCCTACTTCCTCAGCGACCTCTGATAGAGGGCGGCCCGATGGTGCTCCAGCTCGCACCACGCGCGGCGCTTCTGCCCCTCCGTGAAGCCCACCTTGCAAGAGTCTGGCGAATAGGCCATGAAATTGTGGACCGGGTCGGCCTTGCCGCAGGACCGTGTCAGAGCGCACTCGTAGTGCGGCATCGCCTCGTCGCTCGTGTCCTCGATGAAATCGCCTCGTCCGCCGTTGGCGCCCCGGTTCGCGCAGCTCCCCTCGAAGGTGTGGTACAAGCCAAGCCCGTGCCCAGCCTCGTGCACCAGGGCGTCCCCCTCGTCGTACCGCATGTCTCCGCGGTTCCTGCCGGCGTGGCCCCGGAATCCCTCGGTGCTCACCACGACCATATGCTCCGGACTGTCTTCCTCAGACAGCTGGTGCGGGAGCAACGACTGGCCCATGACGCCAGATTGGTCGTTCGCGATGATGACAAATGTGAAGTGCTGCGACGCATTCTGATTGTACTTGTGCAGCAGCCACGGCTTCGTGAATCCATGCTTGGCACATTGGCTGTCGGTCACGATGGAAATATCCGAGAGCTCGAAGCTGATCTGCATGTCCGCGGAAGCTGGGCGCTCGTCGCCGTCAAAGTCCGTGCGCGCCCAAGGCGAGAGTCCGCTCAAGGCCTCGTTGGCCCACCTGTTCTGCTCCCTCACGTGCTGCTCGGTGACGCTGTCGTCATCGTCTGACATCCGGCACACCACGTACCTCGTTGGTATCACCAGCCTGGCAGCCTGGGGCACCTGGGGGAGTTCGCCTGACATGCCGCACTTGCTGACCGCGCCTGTTTGGGGAACCCTGCTTCTGGGCGCTGTCGCGTGCTCGATGTGGTAGGACCACTTGTCTGGCAACCCGACGTGGCCAGCTGTCTCGAAGACCTCAATGCCAGCCGCACTGCCGAGACTGGTCACCTTGAAACAGCCCCTGGAGCCCCGCATAGCTTCGGCGCCGCAAGAGGATGGGAGCTTCAGGCCAGAGAGTGATGTGTCGTTGCAGCTGGGATAATATGAATTAGCAACCATCTCAACGAAAAGAGCGGGGAACGGGTGTTCCAAATGCTCATAGAAAGATGCCCAGGCAGTGTCGCTGGGGAGGTACATGCACCCGCCTGGGGGCAGCACCGGAGCTTCAGGGTGCGACATCACAAAGTGCAGGATGTGCTTCGAATGCGGCATGCTCGTAGCAAGGTCCAACAGCTGACCGATCCTCCTGTATGCCTCCTTGTGCAGTTCGATATCGCCTGCCTGGAGGTCGGCCACCCTCTTGTACATGCTTCTGCGATGAGGACGATCGTGCTCAGCCTGATTCGGCGATTCGATTGGCACCCTCATGAAGAGCGCATCGGTCAGACTGGCGCGTAGCCAGAGCAACGCCAGCGACACCGAAGCATGGCAAGTCATCGGCATCGGCGACCAGAAACAAACATGTGTAGAGGCTCTGCAGGATCAGGGACTTGCTCCTGCAACGAACCCGAGCCTGTCCACGGCTTGACCCACAGTGGTTACCGAGCCCATGACCCCGAGCCCGTAGAATTCCTGATGCTTCGAGCCCTGCCTGACCAAAGAACCAAGAAACAACCTGGACATAAGCCTTCCGTGGTCCGTGCGGACCTCTTGGGGCGGCGCCGACCCCCTCCCCACACCCCTGGCCGCGCCTCCGGCGCCGCCCCTGACGCGCTGCGCCGTTTTTCGCTGCGGCATGGCAGAGGCAATCCGCACGGGCGCTCGAGTCGTCGGGGGCGCACGACAAACTAAGCGTCCGGCAGCAAGGGGGGGGGCGCGAGGAGGAGGAGCGGCCGCGGAGGACAAAGCGCACCCCGACGCGGCCTCCCACTCGGGGGCCTCTCCTCGACCCCCCCCTCGCCCAACAGGTCTGGGGTGGCGGCTGGCAGGCCCCCGGAGGTCCCCCGGGGACGCACTGGCCCCGGGTGGGCCCAAACCCGGGTCGGTCAGGCCACGGCAGGATCCTGCGGGATCCTGCGGGATGCTGCGCGCCAACCCAGGTCGGTGCACCCCTGGCTCTGCAGGATCCTGCAGGATCTGGGGCTCTGGCTAACCCCTGTTTGCGTTGACCCCCGTCTCAAGGCTCCCGAGTCGCGACCCATGCCTCGGGACCGGCTTCTCATCCCGAACCATGTTTTGAAAGTCCCGGGGTCTGGCGAGGGCCCCCAAGAAGGCCGACGATGGCAAAAAGACCGTCCGTCTTGGCTATTTCGCGACGCGCGGGAGCCTGGGTCCAGACCTCTGGGAGGGAGGAGGGAGGACTCCGTAGGGTTCTGCGGCGAGGGACCTCTGTGCTGAGCCGGCGCTGGCCCGAACAGGCCTCGAGCCTCGACGGGCCAGCCAACTCGGGACTCCTCCTCCTCCTCCTCCTCC